AGGCGGTGCTGAGGGCCAGGGTTTGGGGGTGGGATGGCAGGGGTAGGGGAACGGTTGGGCTGGGGGAGCTGAAAGGGCTTTTCCAACCCAAATGACTCTGTGATTCTATGTGTTGGGTATTGTTTGGCCATGGAGCAGCTAAACGAGCTGCAGGTAACGAGTGTCAAAGATATGGTGAAAAAAGGAAGGTTGAGACGTACCCCGCCCCCGGTGAGAGCCTTCCTTTGCTCGCCGGTATTGATTCAGCTCTTTCGCAAAGTCGTCGTAGTCTTCCTTCCCTATATCTTCATCCTCCTCCCCCTCATACTGACCGTACTCTTCGTTCTCGTAGTCCTCGTACATGCCGTAATTCTTGCTCTCCATTTTCGAGTAGCTCTTCTTCTGCATGGGAGCGCTGTGAGAGGACGGATACTGCTGGTGGGACTTTGGGAAAGGCAGAGAGGTTAGCGATGACGGAAAGGAATGGATCAAGCTTAATATCATGACTTGATTTTTAAAAATCATTAAAAAAAAAAAAACAACAAAAAAAAACCCCCAAAGAAATAACCGCTAGGTGAAAAATAAACAGGTGAAAGGACCAGAGCCAAAATGTGGGGCCCGTAGGTGGAGCCAGCCGGGCACTCGCCCTCCAATCTTGCAGGGGCTCTGAATCCGAGAGCGGCTTCCCCTTCCCCGGCCGTTGGCGGGTACTTACGGAAGAGTAGGGAGGGCTGTATTCCCTGTATTTTCTGTGTCCCTTTTCGCCAGGACTGAAGTCCGAGTCCTCGCTGTAGTCAGAGAAGTCATCGCTGGAGGAAGCATGGCGCTGCAAGGCGAGGAAAACACGGGGGGGGGGTGATTTTAGGAGGGGGCAGCTCTGAGCCTGACACGGCTCCGGGCCTTTCTGTGCAACTCCACTATGTCTCCCTTTCTCCTTTTTTTTTTTAGTTTTTGAAGAAAGCTAAGTTTTGTTTAATAAAATCATCACGTTCACCGAATTACGAAACTGGAAGCCCGTTAGCGGGTTCCCTAACGGAGACAAACACGACAGGCCTTCTGCGCTCCGGGAATTCTTGGGATTTAAGTGACAAACATCCTTGGTTTTGCAAATACGGCAGCCTGCAACCCCCTCTGAGGTCAATACCTTGCTCCAGAGCAACTCCCCGCCTCAAAACCTGCTTTCTTGCCGCTCCTCAGGCGGACAAGAGAGTGCTGCGGTGGTTTTATCCTCCCTGCAGACCTCGGTGGCCCGCCGCCGTGCTTGCCAGCCCTCCATGGAGGAAGGCGTGAAGGAGCTGAGCCCCAAGAGACCCTGCGAGCGCTCCCACCTTGCAATTATCGTTAGGGGAAGAGCCTCAAACTACCCATAGTAATGTTAAGAGGAGGAATTCCCTGGAGCCACCTGACAGCAGAGATCCCGGAGGAGGTGGGAAGCAACAGGAGCGCGTGGCTCACCTTGTGTTTGGATTTCCTTTTCTTCTTGGACCTCCTCTTCTCTTTCTCTCTCTCTTTCCGACGCTTGCGCTTCATCCGTCGATGGGCTTTCTCATCATCGGAATCGCTGTGATGCTTCTCCCCTTTCTCCTTCCGACCTCTCTCTTGAGATTCGGAGGGATCCTGAGCCTCCTCCCCTCCGTCGTCCTCCAGCTCCCCTTCTTCCAGTTCTCCATCCTCCCTGTAAAGCAGACCACCACCTTTAATTCCCCTTATTCAAAGGAAAAAAAGAAAAGAAAACCTGCTTACTCCGCTTACACCAGCCCGGCACTCGGCTCCCAAAGCACTCACAAATTCCTAATTCATCAAAGTTTTAAATATTTGACGGCAAATACCGAAATCCTGTTCATCTCTTGTCAGCGAAACCTGCTCAAGCTCGTGCCTGGAGTGAAAGGCGGCCAAGAAGCATCTCGCAACCAACAAAGCGTTCAGCTTTCACGTGAAATTAAGTGCAAATCCGCTCCCGGAGTGGAAAGGGGTGCTTTCATAAAAGCTTTGCTCCACTCCCAGAACCGAAATTGGGGTTTTAATAAAACACTCGGTCCTCCCAGAAGACAAGGATAAGCAAACACCACGTTGGTTTGCCGAATCTAGAGGCGCGTGCCCGGTTATTTCCGCTCCCTTGACCTCGTGCTACCATTCACCCTCGACTGTCGCTAGCGGAGGGGATAAAAGCCAACCCCAAACTTCCTCGAGAGGATTCCCCAAGCCCCACGCGATTAAATCCAATTAAAAACGACTCGGATACGGGTTACGAGCAACTTTTTACGACCTCGTAACGGCTTCAACGGGTAACGCGGCACCAGTTGGGTCAGCTCCCGTGCCTTTTCCTTCTCTCCCGACAGGTCCCCAGTTTGTCGCCGGGTGATTGAAAACAAGAGCGGGGTCTCCTCCTCCTCCTCCTCCTCCTCCTCCCTGCTCATTCTCCTTCTCCTTCTCCTCATCTTCCTCCTCCTCCTCCTCCCTCTTCTCTTCCTTCTCCTCCTCCTCCTCCCTTAAGCTCTAATTAAAACCATAAACGCCAGCTCGTTGAGCTACCCTCCTCCCTCTTCTCTTCCTCCTCCTCCTCCTTCTCCTCCTCCCTTAAGCTCTAATTAAAACCGTAAACGCCAGCTCGTTGAGCTGCATCACGGTCGTTCTTTTAGGAGCGTGTAGGAGGGGGATCTTTGACACGTGTCCCCTCCAGTTGGGTTTTTTTTGGGGGGAGGGGGCTATTTTGGATGCTATAAAGTCTCCTCTTTGGCGCTACAGTGCTGCGGTGCAGGCAGCTCAGCTGGAAGAAGGAGCTGCCACCGCTCAAGTAGCTCTCGGGGAGGTCTGGAAACTGAAACGGGGTTCATGGACGGCATTCGGAAAGAGCCACGCCGCGCGGAACGAGCTGACCGGTCAATAAGCTTCAAAAAACCCCCCAAGAAAACCAGAATGATGAAAAAGGCATGAAAAAAAAGTGGCGTTAACGATCCCTAGGCAGCATCCCGGGAAGTTTTCGGCATTGGCGGAGAGCAAACGCTGGGATCCAGCCGCCCGGTCCGGCTCTGACGCAAAGCTCCCCCTCTTGTTTTTGTTTCAGCTCGTACCATCTTAAGAAGAGACTAATTCCAAAATCAAGCTCGCTTAGGCGTGACTCACGAAGCTCTTAAACCCGAGGCCTAATTCCTAGGTGTGCGTACAAGGTTTTAAAGGCGAGCGTCAGCGGGAATGACTTCCGTCGCGGGAACGCAGCGTCCTTCGGGTGTTCAGCGAGATCGGTCTCAGCACAAGACCCCAAAAACTCCAACGCTGGGCGCGAGGCCGAGCAGAAGGGAAAGCAGAAAGAAAAGCATACGGCAAGGAATTGAAATACCTGCCTATTTAAATAAAGCCCCGCCAAAACCTCTCTCCTTTCCCTCGAGGGAGAGGTTTCCTCAACAAATGGATTTCAAACTAAAAATGCCACCAGGATCCAGTTTCCAGCAACCAGAGAAACACCGCCGCAGCTCAACCCGGGCACGGGACAGGGTTGTAGGAAAGCAGGAGCGGTTCTAAAGCCCCGATAAACGCCCTGACGCCATACGTCTGCAAAAAAAAGGTTGTAGGAAAGCAGGAGCGGTTCTAAAGCCCCCGATAAACGCCCTGACGTCATACGTCTGCAAAAAAACCCTCCCATTATTCCCTTTGGCATGGCTCCGTTGAAATAATTTACCCCCTCCCGGGAGTCCTCGCCGGCTGGGGATGGCCACTGGGGATGGCCATCGCTCCCCGCCTTCAGAGAGGAACAAGCACGCGTCGTTAACACCTTAATTGCAATATTCCGGAGGGATAATTAGCCTTCGTTTTGGATGGTACAGGCAATTATCCCCCCGGCTTTGAGTTGCTCTGGTGCCGGTATCAAGGTTTAGAGCGAGACTATGCCTGGGGAGCTGCGTCCCGATTGAGAATCGCGTTATTAAATTTGCCGTGGGTAGAGAAACGAGGACCAAAAAAGGTTCCCGAGATACGAAGCGTCAACATTTTGGCAAGGGTTATCCGAAAAGCGCCGAGAGACGGGGATGAGGCCGAACCGTCGAAACGATCGCCGTTTTAGGAGATGAAATATGAATTATTTAACCCCCACGCGGCTCCTAAAGGCGGCAAGTCTGAGAAATCGTGTTTATACGGGCGCTCAGATACCAAACTCCCATCTTACGACGGGCGATTATCACCTCCTGCCGTGTTTTAACTCCAGTTCTGCCGGGTTGGAGGAGGTTTGGGCCAGAAATGATACACCCGACCTCCCGGAGGGACTGCGGGGCTCGTTTATAGCGCCGGGAGAGAAGTTTTAGGCCAGCGTTAACGAAGGCTTGGGTTTGCCTAAGGGTTTTAAACACGGCGAAAGGGGAGCCAAATCGGAAACACGGCAACCGGTGGGGTACGGGTGTTTGAAAGCAACCTGACGATTTCCAAGGCTGGATGGGGAGATAAAGAGATGAATAAAGAGATGAATAAAGAAGTGAATAAAGAAGTGAATAAAGTGAATAAAGAAGTGAATAAAAAAGAGAATAAAGAAGTGAATAAAGAAGTGAATAAAGAAATGAATAAAGAAATGAATAAAGAAGTGAATAAAGTGAATAAAGAAGTGAATAAAGAAGTGAATGAAATGAATAAAGAAATGAATAAAGAAATGAATAAAGAAATGAATAAAGGAAAAAATGAAAGCAATTAAAGCAACGTTGTGCATTTTCGGGGGACGGCTCACCGTGGAGAGTCGCTGCGGGGAGGCGGTGAAGAAGCCATGGCTGTTAAGCAACTATTGGTATTGCAGAAAACACTGACTGGGGGAAAATTCTTCCCCGAATCCGCGCTCATCTCGGGCTTTCCTATCGCTCCTGCCCGCCTGATCTATAGGGGACGGTCCCCGGCGCAGCACACATCCTGGCGGAAGGACCCACGCCGGTTGCCCGCGCGGCGTTTGTGACCTCAGCGCCACGGCAATGACGTAAGACGCAACTATTGGTATTGCAGAAAACACTGACTGGGGGAAAATTCTTCCCCGAATCCGCGCTCATCTCGGGCTTTCCTATCGCTCCTGCCCGCCTGATCTATAGGGGACGGTCCCCGGCGCAGCACACATCCTGGCGGAAGGACCCACGCCGGTTGCCCGCGCGGCGTTTGTGACCTCAGCGCCACGGCAATGACGTAAGACGGCGGTGACGACGCCTGGAAAAAAAATAAAAAGCCCTTTAATCGTTATC